CACAGCAACAGCATCACTGTAGACCCAGAGAAGCTTCTGAATGCATAGAAGTGTATGGATAAGTGCAGCTGTCTGATCAAGAAGGTATAAGTCACAGGTGAAATAATCATATTTTCTTCAAAAGCTGTACATATAGAAGGTGTTGTGTCTGGTTTTTATGAACAGCATTGTGAAGAATGTCAATCATTCAAGTTGTCCTTTGCATTGGATCTCCCTTCTTTGCTTTGGACATCACTTCACAGCTGGCTAGTGCTCAAACTCTGTTAGCTTTAGACAGTAGATGCCTGGGGTTAAATTTGATGCTTTGGCCTTCCAAACCCAGCCTTGCAAGGTGGAGGGCAGGGAGGGAGGATTTCCCCCTGATCTGTGATGTTCCCTTTGGGTTCCAGAGCTTCCATCAGGGCAGGGAGGGGGAGGGGAGACGAAGGATATCTGAAAATCTTCAGTGTAAACAAGGCCAATTATACACACACCAATTACCTCAGTGTAAACAACCAATCACAGTATAATGGGGAGAACCTTTTAAGCCCAAGGAGGGTGCTTTGAAGTGTGTCTGCTCTGAGATTGCCTATTAATGCAGAGAATTGCACCAGCAGCAGCAGCTGTTGGCTCCAGTGAGCAGAGTTTGGTGGCAATGACAATGGAGCTGGGCAGATTGGGATTTGGATACCCTGATATGACAATACAGTAGTTAAAATTCCAGCAGCGATGAGGCCATAGCCAGTGGCAACCTGGCTGTAGGCAGCTTGTTATCAGCCATTGATGGCAGTGTGAAAGAATTGGGATTTTTTGTTACATATATGCGTGTATACATATATGCCTTTGTGTCTGGGAAACTAGTTGACCTGCATTTTGCTGACTGGTCACTTTGCCAGCAAGTCTGCAGCCTCCTCTGGCTAGAGGTCTCTCTAAGCCCCAGGTGTCATTATCTCCTTCAAAGCACTGTCCTGCTTTTTCAGAAGGCCTGATCCTGTGGTGGATGGAGTCCACTGAGAATCTTTTTAATTTTGTGAGCTTCTGATCAGGCCCTATATAGTTGAATTCAGTCTGCTTGCAGGTGAATGCTGCTACCTGCATAATGCTGAGGGCTGCAGCAGCTTCCTTGGCCCTGATCTCTGGTTCTAGAAGAATCAAACACAATGATTTCTTCATAGGCCTTTCTCCCCATGCCACATGCCTGCTCCTCTCCTAGAGTTCCCTTTAACATTCACTGTTTACAGCCCTTGTTCAGTCTTGCTGGTTTTGCCCTCCTACATTCAGCAGACCTGCATCATCTACCTCTAGATGTGACACATCAGTGCAGTAAGGGATTTCTGCTGTATGTGCTGAAGTGAATTCCAGTTTTGTAGCAGTACCCACATGATTTCTTGCATTTTCTGTGAAAGAATGCAGGTAAGTCATACCCAGGTTAATGTGTCTAACTCTCTCGGCTGGGAGAGGATTATGTCAATTTAGGCTAATAGTTGCCAAATAATAGACACACAGATACTCTTAAATTGGTTCAATTTGTGTCTGCTGGCCCTGACAATTGGAAGAAATGATAAATATATAAAAAGCATTTGGAGCTTGGGGTGTTATGATGCTAATTGCAAAGGAAGCCTGCATGGTGTGTGGGAATCTTAGTGCATGAGATCAGTGGCTGATTAGTGGCTGGCAGCTGGAGTGTACTCCTCCCAGCTATCTCACACTGAGCGCAGGCAGCTTGGCCCCTGCAATCAATTCTTGCCCCAGATACGGGCAATGAAGCACCTATTGTGGACAACAGACAGTGTGATGATGGGAAGATACAAATAGTGTCAGCACTGTAACAGGCTCTCCTAATGTGCACAGAAAGAGTGTCAGAGATACTGCTGTCTAGGTGGTTTGCTGTGTCCTGAGCCACAGCAAAGACACAGGCATTTGAGAACTGAGGTCTTTTTTTCTTTTTTAACAAATGCACAAATCTTGTTATCTTACTTTCTGCCTCTTTCATGCCATGTTTGCAGCAGATGACAGAACACACTCCCGAGGCCCTGAGCTTCAAACCCTGCTTTAGACTCTGAAGTGAATGTGTACAGGTGGTGGCACCCCCTTCCCTTGCATCGTGTTTTAGAATCATGACATTTAAAAAATTGAGTTTTCATCTGTCTGTCAGTGTCCCAGTATTTCCCTCTCAAGCATTTCCCTGGTGTAAAAATAAAGTATAAAAATCAGAGATTTAAATAATACACTTCTGTCATACAAATCTAAGCAGTTGGCCTTTAGAAAAAGAGACATACAGAACTGTAGGAATTGGTGTCACTGGTGCATCACTGATACCACTGAACTAATCAGGCCTTTGTTTGATTAGGCACACATCTGTTTTTCTCACTTGCTTTACATTCATTTGTGAGAACCCCTTATTTATTTCTTCATTTAAGAAGGTTGTTTTGTAACTCTGAAGAGTTACATGTCATCTTTTCTCCACATTTGCTTTTCCAAATCTGAAACAAATGTAAAACACAGCTTTAAACTGTTGCACACTCTCTCGATTAATCTGGTTACAGTCCTAAGCCTCAGACAGGCATCGAGTAGCAATACCAGGAGGGTTCACTTCTGAACATTACAGAATTTTTTTTTTTTTTTTTTTTTTTTTTTTTTTTTTTTTTTCATGCCACCAGCTCTCTGAGTAATGCAGTTTTGCTCAAGATGGAGACAGAAGTGGGGTAACATAAGAAGCCCATGGTCACAGGCAGTGGCTGGAGCCTGAGCTGGTGGCTGCAGTCAGCTTCTCTGGCGATCAGTGCATGGGCACTTCGAGTCCAGTTTCCTTAACCCTCCAGTTAACCCTCTTCTCCAACTGTTGAGAAAAAGATAAATCATCAATGATGTCCCCCATAAGAGCTAATTACAAAGAGGACATCCTTCATATAGTAGCCATGTTGTAAAAGTAATGCTATGGGGAGAGGTAAGGTTTACTGGCAGACCTAATACCTTGTTTGTTACCAACATAGGTAGTTGGGAAAAGTTAACAAACTTCCAGAAAATTAAGTTCTTCTACAGGTCTGAAAGAGAAAACTCAAACTTCAAGCTACTCAGTCCCATTCTCAAAAATCCTGTAGAGGGAACAGACATGACAGTCAACTCTGCCATGGATAAAGCCATCTTGCAGGGCAGCCCTGAGAGCCCAGGTACTCCAGGAATCTTAATAGCCTATGTGGAGCAACAAATTCCTGAAACCTTGCTCTTCGTTCAGTAAATGTTTGTCGAAACAGGAATGAGAGATACAGGTAAAATCAACATTTTCTGGCCAAATTATTTCCAACTGGTTCTAGACAGGTATTAGTAATGCAGCTGTCAGTTTTCACATGATGGTTTTTTAATGGACACCCTTTTATTAGTCATCTTTTAAGATATCTTCCCTTTTATTTTAAGCAAAATACCTATAGGTACCGTTATTGATGGTTTCAGCTACTACTGGACATTAAGATACTGAGTGGAAGCTGGTCAATGTGGTGACTGACACAGCATGGGAATTCAGTGACTGTGCTGCAGCCTGAAAGAGACTCCATGCTAGATCCTGGCAAGGAGCTAGGAGCAGATAAGACATCTGTTTAATCTCACTGTGAGGTGAAAAGGGGGAAGAATCCCAAATCAAGTATATTCAGGTGAATGGAGCTTGTGAAGGGAGCACTGTTTGCTTGAAAAGTTTTTGAGAGGAATCTTAAGAGAAGTCTCTGGCATGGTGGGCAGGTTGCCTCGGCCAGGATGCTGCCTCCTCTTGGGAACCACAAGAGAAAACATTTGCTCCTCCTCCTGGCCAAATCAAAATAGCCCCTTCTCCTTCCCTACCGCTCACTGCCGAGCTTGGGGTGTCTCCTGCTGCCAGGTGGGCGGCAGCAGGGCCAACACCAACTGCTGCTTCACAGCATCCATTCAAAGTCAAGACTTGATAATGGTTGTTGGTCTATGGGCTCCTCTTCACTTGGGGGAATGGCCCTGTCAGAAGGGCATCTCAGATAATGTAGGTGGGTGTCAGCAGAGTGCAAACAGTCCATCCATCTCCCCGGAGTGCAGAGGAGGCTCTGGGAGAAGGAGTCATCCACGTAATGATCACCAGATGCTGTCTGATCAGTTCCTGTATTGCTGAGGGGTTCTGGTAGGCTGTGTGCAAGAGAAGAAGACAGAAGAAGGATGCTCTATACTGTTCCTCCTATAAAGAATCACCACCTACCATTTGCGCTTCTCAACAGGCTGGGAGACAGGAGGTCTGGAAAGGCTGGAGGAAGATGTTTCTTTCATCCACTTGCAGGACATCCTTTCTCTTTTAATGTTTTCTATACAGTAAAGAGAACAAAAAGGGTGAAGGAGCTGAAGAGAAGAAGCTGCAGAGGAGTTTCCAGTTCCTATAGGAATCTGTGCATAGCACACTGGGTTTGCAGCAGCCCCAAACTGTGCTTAGCTCCATGAAACCTAGTAGCTCAGCTGCAAATTCCAGGATTTCTTCTGTTTTCTGAGCCAATCCCTCAGCATTTAGAGTACGGGACTAAGCTGAAGTTCTGCAAGCATATATGAATCATGTCAGCTAAAAACTCCTAAAAATCAGCTTAAAGCACTAGCCTGTTCCAAAGAAAAGCACCAAAATTCAGTCTGGGGCTTCTGTTAAGTTAAAACCAGAAATACTTCTTTAAATAAAGCATAACAGCCAGTTTGCTTTGCAAATCATCTAAAAACTGCTTTCTCCAGGTAACATCCAAAATAAAATGCACCTATTCCAAAATTCTTAAAATTCGCCTATTAAAAAATTTAAAAATCATCTACTACAAAATAAAATTCAATGTATAAGATGACATCTGGGAGATCTACATAAGACTGCTTTAACTGGGCTAAAGCTAAGGTGAAAGACAGGTCAAAATCGAGCTTACCATGGAAGCTATCAGCAACCTTCATGGAGAAAGACTGTCGTCTTGCTGGGGAGATCATGTTTCTGTTATTATTAATAACAATCTGGTTTATACCATTTATTCTCCCTTCTTTCTTAGGCTATCATCTCTGACAGCTGGGAGGCTCAACACAACCCCTTAGGGTGAAGCTATGATGAGACTGAATCATGTTACTGAATCAGGAGTATCGTCAGATCATATCATGTGTTGTGAGAATTCATAGGAACCCCAGCCTTCATCCCAAAGCACTTACAGTCCAAGCTGGAGGGCTTGTAAGGAGGAGGGTCATAGTAAAGTAGGGATCTCAGTGCTATTTTGAATTTTGTGATTCATAGCTGTCTTTTTTTCAATAAAGTTAATTTTTTCTTTTATTGCATTTTGATGTAGAAGAATATGAAATCTTACAGATGTTATGGTAAGAGCAGGCTGCCTTTCTATGTATGCTTCTGTGGGGGGATGTCTTTTCTGTGCAGTCAGTCAGCAGGATCGAGCTTTACCATGAAGCAGTTTGGTCTGAGCTGCTTTGCCTCACTGGCCTGTTCAGAAAGCACTAAGGCAGGCAAAGCCAGCCATCTTTACATCCTCACCCGGCGACAGTAACGGGCTGCTGCCTGTGGCTGTGTGCAGGGACCCTCCTGCTCCACGGGAGCTGATGCTGTTACGCTCGGCAGAGCAGGTCTGAACAGGGTGAAATGAAGAGGAAATGCCAGTTCCAGCGCTCCCAGATGGCTCCGGGCTACTTCGTACACTAACTTTTTCAGCCTCAAGAGGTTTTGCATGTTAATTCCTCACCCTTCACAAACTGCTTTTGGATTAGCAGCCGAGATCCTGGAAAGCCACCCCTCTTGTGATTCGGGAGACTTGAGCAACACTGTGTTTATTGGGCTGCCTGCTCTGCTCTCCTGTTTTGGTAATCCTCTGCTTTCCTGCAGGTATTAACATGTACAAGAAAGTTTCGTCACAATAAACAATAGCCAAACATGACATTTTTTTCCGTCCATCAAAGATACCATCATACTTTTAAATCAGTCCCAGCGAAAATCATCAGTGAGGCTGCAGAAAGGTCAAAGGTTTGCCGGTTTAGGATTTCGTGGGAATATGCGCTTGTTTGGACTTGGCCCAAGAGCTTCGTTTACCTGTTTGACAGGTAACAATTAGCGAGTAATAGCTCTGCCGGCTGGAATGCAGCTGCGAGGGCCAGCGGGCGCTGGGTTACCTGGTGGGCAGGTGTGGGTGCAGCGCCCAAATAGGTATGTGCATGCACAGCATTCCTGGGAATCAGTTTTCCCTTAAAGATGCAGCGATGACTGCAGGGCACAAAAGGGCTGGGCTTAGCCCAGGCTCCAAGGCGTTGAGCTGTTTGCAAGGTAAAGAAGTAAAGTAAATAGTGGAAGAGAAGAGGAGCTGAGGAAAAGGCTGAGAAGCAACTGCCCCTTTTTTCCCTTGCCTGGAGAGAGGAGAGTTTTGATTCTTCCCTGAGAATCTCAATAATGGAGAATTCAGTGCAATTATGGTGTCATGGGAGATAAAAATGGAAGAGCTCAGACAGGGTAGAGCTGATTGAAGAAGTGCATGTCTGTCTAGAAGTTACGCAGATGAGTGGCCAGCATGGCTCAGGAACGGTCCGTAAGGATTTCTTGTGCATTTCTCCCCGCTGGCAGCCCAGCACAGGCACAGTAGCATGCAGCAGAGCCAAGAAGCTCACCTGGCACAGTATAAATGTGAAGTGGGAAAACCCTGTATCAGTTGGTTTTGAAATGGTTAAACATCTTATGAGCACTTACCTTCAACTCTGCCATTAGCAAGAATCCAAGCCTCAAATTTATCGAATAAAACCACTTTATCTGTGTCAAGTGGCCCCCCATTTCCAGCTCCTGCAGGAGCTGGGGAAGATTCCTGTATCAGCCTCTCCCAATGTCGAGTCCCTAGAGGGAATCTGGTATAAATTATGAAGACAGTCAGGGACTCTGCAGGTGTTTTTAAGATCTTTGATTTTTATTTTTTTTTTTACCACAGCAGGTGACTCTTCTCTTAAGAACAGAGAGATTTGCTCATTCTTTTCATATTTTATTCCCATTCCTCAACAGGCTTCTGTGTTTGTGTATTTCCACTTAGGTGTTTCGTACTTGACAATTGAGCTATTGTGTGACTTCAGAGAAGCCACATCCTCTTTCCTGGTCTCTATTTTTACCTGCAGAGTTGGAGTAGTGAGTCCCATGTTACTAACCATAAGAGTCACAGATGATAAGTACTGCTGTTATAAATATGCATGCTATTATAGATATATATTTACTTATATCACACAATGATTCCTTTGAACCTTATTTCACTAAGATGACAAACTATTTTTGATTTTTAATAAAAATTCTGTGTTTTTTACTTATAAACAGCTTCCCTGACTGGAAGGACATTATCCTTGGTGTACTAGTTGATGCCATTTGAGGAAGAAGAAATCCAAGTATTATTAGAGACCATTTTCCTTGATCTTAAAGGACATAACATCACTTTGAATCATTAAGCATTATTTGTACACTATGATTTAGTATGACCTTCATTAACAGGGAGTCTCTTTGCTTAACAGCGTATGGGCCAAGAAATGGTCATTAAGCCTGACTACTAGCTGACACAATAGCAAGGTTTGTATTCATGCTCACAAACTCCTCATGAGCTACAAGCAAGCACTACAGAAGCATGGAGACACCCCTGCACTGTGGATTAAACCAAAGCAAAAATACAACCCTGTCTCAGAAAACGCTGAGAAATACATGACAAGCCCCTTCCCCCAGCCCACAACCACTGGGTAAGAAGATGCAATTATCTGTCCTGGGTTGGAGCAGATGCTCATACACTGCACTGCACCTCTCAGAGCCGCTGCCTCAGGCACTTTGGGAAGAAGTGAGCAGCACTCTTCCCCTGCCAAACATCTTCCGTTCTGCGTCTCAGGCTTCCTTAGCTGGAGCCTGGATCTACATCTGCGTTTGATACTTCTGAGTCAACACTTTGTTTTGTGAATCTGACCACTGTTTGGACCCCTGTGTACATTTGACCTCTGTAGTGTTATGCAGCCATTAGCCCCACAAGGTTATGAGGTACTTCAAATAATTATTTTGTTTGTTATAAACCACAATTCTGATCATGGCATTTGGCATCTATGGTACTGCATGAAACAGCAGGCAAACTGTTCCCTCTGTCTCCCATTTATTGCTGATCTCTGCAACCTGCAGAGTTCTGCACATTTTGGCCTGTTTTCCTACCGTGGCCATTTTGACCTTGTAATATTTCCGATTTCCGATCACCTCCCCTTTGGACATGGAGGACAGGAACTGCATGCAGTGTTCAGGATCCGGGGCACTCTAGATTTGCACAGTGGTGTAACAATGCTTTCTGAAGTTCTTTACATCCCTGACATTGCTTCAGCCCTGCTGAGTATGGGAGCAACCTGAGCATGCCGAGAGACACTTTCATCAGCCTTCATGGTCACGATTGTGCTGCATAGTCATGCTGCATAAGCACAAATGCTTTGGAGTCCAGTGAAGAACTCTCCTCCCTCCTGCACTTTTCTGCCCATCTCTAGGTTTTATGTCCCTGTGTGGGCTTGATCACCCCATCACCTGAAGTAAGTAGAAGAGTTGCCCTGATTTCAGTAAGACTGGAAGTCCTGGGAGCATCTCTTGTTAATGTCAAGGGGAGCTGCATGGAGAGACTAACCCGTGGTTAGTGCTGAGTGTTGTGCTCTTCTGGTCCTTGGGAATGGGAAATCTCATGCTCACAGGGAGACCAGACTCATTAAGGTAGAAGAGAAATGAAGTGCAATACCAGTGGCAGCCTTGTGAGAGAGTTTTGCCTCACCTTTCACTTTCTTAAATGCTTTCTGTGAATGCAGGGAATTCAGCCTTTCAGTTTGATGCTGCTTTCCCCTATATCTGCACTTTAGCCAGAACAGTTGTAAACATTTAAAAAGTAGCATCAATTAAAAGTGACTCAGGAACAAATGTGATATAAATAATCTGGAAAGACTGGAAGAATAGCTATTCTACCAAAGGCTTTTCTAAATGGACACCTGGAGTGATGAAACTGTGGAGAGGATGGTTTGGGAGGCAGCCTTCCAGCTTCAGCAGTGCAGTCATGGTGATTAAACATACCTTTTGGAAGTACATGCTGTTTTGAAGGGGCTTCCAGCAATCACCAAATAAAGCTTATAATGAATGACCCATTGCCTGTTAAGAGGCAGGATGACTCCACCTGCTATTTGGGTTCCGTACAAAAGGCTGGCAGTATTTCAGGCTGAACACGGGGACTCAATATGACAAAGGCTTTGTTGTTCACTGGTAACTACCAAGAAAGAGTCCGCTGCATGAAGTGGGTCATAAATGGCATCTGAAGTAGTCTTTCACCCCAGCAAAGGACATTCGAGGAGAACAACATAGGAAAAGGACCGACTCAAAGGAATTCACCACCACAGATTATTCCCAGGCAGCACCACACTGTGTAAGGAGGAACAGAAAACACATGATCTTCTCTGTGAAGTGTTTGTGGCGTTTTTGTCACCATAGTACCTAGTCACCAAATACAGAAATGTCCCTCCCTTGATTCATAACTGAACCCACAGTGGCTATTCCTGTTTCTAGCAGACCTCCCTCTACCTGGTGTGTAATAGCTGAATGGAGGAATGCTGGACACTTACAGGCTTCTCCATCCTCCACCACAATGCAAACAGATTACTACACTCAGTAGCTTTTTACAAGTTTTTCTGAGCACATGAAAAGAGCAGGTACATTGGTCTGACTGGTGACACCTGCTATTACCAGGGTAAGGATTCTGCTTCGGAGAAGGATGATGAAAGTTAGCATGGCATCAGGAGATCAGAAGGAAAAAAAAAAAAAAAAGCTGCTTCAGGAGTCTGCTTTGAAAATCCCTTCTAAATTCACATTTGCTCAGCAGTAGCATTACTACAATCAGCATCTGAATAAATCTGGGTTTCCATCCACACCAAGCACATGTCAGGTTACTCGTGGCCTAAGAGCAGATGCCTCTGCCTCTCCAGAGCTCTCCTGCTGGGACAACCATCCCAGAGGCAGAAGTTTCCTGTGAAGACAAACTGCCCTTCAAGGGAGACTTTCTGGAGGTGGGACAGAGGAATGGACCACAGCATGGAGCACAGGAGGGGAAGACAAGGGCTGGAGGCTGGAAAGGTGGGCAGACAGGCTGCAACTGAGAACAAGAGCATGGGGAGCTCTGGACTACTTGGATGAAACTGGAGCCAGGGAAGGGACCTCCAGGCACAGCAGTAACAGCAAGGCAGACTGAAGACAGACATAGGGGCATGGGAAGGACTAGGGCTGTTTGAATGAGAGAAAACTGAGAAGTAACAGAGGTAGTGGGGCAGCAGTGGGGCTGGTCTGTGAGGAACAAGGGCTACTGATGGCCAACTGCTGCAGTGATGACCCAGTCTGGACAAGCCAGGTCGCCTCCTGGCTCAGCCACATTTTCTGCCTTCCCCTGGTGCTGGATTGCCCAGAGATTTCGACATTACTGATGCTAATTACACTACCAGGAGCTGCATCACTACAGGAAAGTCACTTCCCAGGTGCAAGATGGACCACAGACAGCACTGTTTTGAATAGTAGAATCACAGAATCATACAACAGCCCAAGTTGGAAATAAACTTGAAAGATCATCTGGTCCAATCTTTCACAGGAAAAGGAACCTAGATGAGATTATCTAGCACCCTGTGCAGTTACATATTGAAAACCTCTACTGATGAGGACTCTACCATGTCACTGGGGAGGTTGTATAACTAAGACACTTTGGGTGGGACAACAAGAAACTAGAGAACTGGAATAAGAGTAAGTGGATGTCTTAGTGCTGTATGTCAGTTGGAGCAGGCATCAATGAGCTGCTTCCTGTACCACTGCAGAAAGGCATCGCCAGCCAGTGACAGCAGTGCTGAGGCCATTGCAGAAGGGAGTGGTGAGACCCCCACAGGCATGACCTGCCTCATTCTACACTAGAAATGTCCCAGACTTGTTCCGCATAAAAAGCAAAGGCTGCAAGGAGGTACTGATACCTCAAGGAAGTAACTACCAGGAAACAAACATGATTTAAACGAAAGGGCAGTGTTGTCACAAGGACAATAGGGTACAAATGGACTTGGACGTATTTCAGGTGGTAAAGAAAGGGTGGCATCTAACCAGGTGAGAAGTGAGTTTCTGGAAGAGATCCCCCAGGAGGAGCAGTGAAAACAAGGGTCCGGACGCTCAGGGATGCAGTTTGATTGAGAGACCCTGCCAGGACCACCCAGAGCCAGGGCTCAGTGGGGCACGTGAGCCCTTCCAGACAACTTGCTTAAGCAACTTCATTTTGGCATCTCCTAAGTTTTGAGTTGTTGCTGTTCTTCCAGGGCACTAGGGGAGCATCATACTGGGTCTTCTGCAGCTTTAGCTATTTTAGTTCAGTGAATAAGGTAGCTCTCATATAGGCCTAATTATGTACTAGTAGTAGAAAAAGAGGAACAGAAAAAGGAAACTATCTGTATTTTAAAAAGCTGATCTGCTGCCACCAGGGATTAAGTACCGACACAAAGAACTTGATTTACCCAAGACTGGTTCTGACAAAGCAAACAGTGTGCTGTTTGACTGCAGCCCAGCTAGTGATGGCAAGCCTTTGTGGAAAATAAAATGCAGCCATCACAGCTCAGGGGATTCTTTCCCTGCCAGAGATAACAAAAGTTATGAAGGTTGAGAAGGAGCATCACTTGGATAGTCACTGTATTATATATTCTCTCCTTCAGATTAGGGAAAGATCAACATGAAGGAGTAATACCTTCCCAAGGAATATTTTATAATGGAAGAAT